TGTTTAGACATAAATTTCACTGATGTAATCATAGAATTTGGCAAGATGAGTCAATAGGATTGCTCTAAAATAAGAGCTATAGTCTGGGCACCAAGTGAATTGACTGGAAAAGTCATAAACACATAACACAAACTCTTCATGAAAGTGTTAATGAGATGTGATTTCAAGAGTAAAATTGTCACCAGATGGTAGTGGCACAAGCCTTTTATCCCAGCATTTGGGAGGCAGAGGCAAGTGGTTCTCTGTATGTTTAAGGCCAGCCTGGTCTACAGAGTGAGTTCCAAAGGCTCCAAAGAAACACAGAGAAACCCTGTCTAGAAAAACAAAATGGCAAAAGGATTAAAATTTTAAAAATACTGGGATTTTGCCATAATAAAACATTATGGCTATTTCACATTTGCCAGGAAATCAACCTACACTTCTGAGATAATATATAAACAAACCTTATTTATAGCAATAACTTTTCTCTATAACTGAAAAGATGTGGAGAAAAGCACTGCATGGATCTCATTGACTATGAAACACTTTGTGATATGTTAGAATTCTATGCCTAAGTGGAGCTTCAAGAGTAGTGTTTCTTGTTGAGTGTTTTGGATTAGGTTATTCTTGAGACAGGGATGTAATGAACAGAGCAGTGAGAAGCAAAGTATAGTACATAGTCTTGTGCTGACAAGCACCACACTGGCTGAGATCATGAGAAGATGATCCTGCATTGAGTAAACCTCAAAAGAAACACTGTGGCCTTTTCACCACAAGATAAACTATCCGAGTAAAATTATCAGTTAAGACAAAGTATCACAGTACTTTGGTGGGTGGCCCACAGTTCTAACCACAGCCCTGGAGGAAGAGGCAGTTGGCTCTCTGTGAGTTCGAGGCCAATCTGGTCTATATTGTTAGTTTCAGAATAGCCAGGGCTATGTAAAGAGACTCTGTCTCAAAAAAGACCAAAAGACCAAAACAAACAAACAAACAAAAAACCACAAAGGGTTCGCCTCCCTGAAAACACAAAAAACCAATGAAACAACTTTATTTATAAATATAAAGAAAATTCTAATAACAAGTAAGACCAGAAAAATAACGTTGTGATAAGGGAACAGATTCAAATCAGTGCAGTGAAAATGACTTGCTGTTTGGACACCACTTGATAGAAATACGATACACTACAACAGTGCTGCCTTGTGCATTAGCAGTGCAGACTGGGCTGTTCAAGAATGCTTTAACAGCAGTAAGTGGATGAGACAAATGTGAGCCAGCAAAATGGCTCTCACGGGGATAATAGGGTTGAAATAAAAATAAGAAGGGCATGATGAGAAAATGTCTGCATATTAGTTTATTTCAAAAGTGTGGCCGGGAATCACACTGAGGTGTGAGGTATATGGCATGCCTAGGAAAATACAGTACAAAAATGTGAGCTACAATAAGGCATATATTTATATATATATATATATATATATATATATATATATATATATATATATATATGCGCCTAAAAAGACTTGCCAGAAGTGCTCCATGCAAAAGGTCTGGTCTATTTCCTGGAAGATATTGTTTTGTTCAATATACTGACAGTAACTCAAACTTGGATAAGTTCAGAAACATGCTCAGGATTATGTAACTAAAAATGAGGAGGCTAGGTTGTCTAGACTTGGAAACTAGGGTGTCTAGAATTCTTTGTTTCCAAATGTGTACTAAAGGGAAATTTGTATATACATATATGAGTGAACTTGGAAAGAAGCAGAATAGAATACTGGTTAATGAACTTGCTGAATAGGAGCAGGGAAGTGATGGGGAAATGTAGGGCTCTGTATGCTGGTTGGTTATAACAGAACTGTGATTAAGAAGCCTATCAAAATGGGTTCTGTGGATACATTCATTTTGGAAAAGCAAATTTTAAAGGGAGATGGAGTCACTGGGAAAATGACATAGCAATTCCAGCAAAAAAAAAAAAAAAAAAAAAAAAAAAAACATGCTTCAGAACAGTCTTCTCCAGTGAGAATGAAGAAAATGGCCATAAACCTCTCTTCCAAGCATTTCTCCTTTTGTCCGAAGATAGGAAAACATTTGTTGGTAGCTATCTTTCTTTGTAATTTTATTTATAGAAAATGATTCTGATTTGCATGCATAACAGGGACATTAGGTGGGAACACAAGTTTTGAGACAAGAGAAAAGGTTATACAAAGAATTGGGTAAATACCATTGACTTAAAAATTAAGCCCTCCCCTCACCATTGCAGTGGGAATTTACCTAATTGCTCTAAGAAAATATAAACAAAGAAGTCAGAAACTGAAGATAAACTTCTGACTTTAACACTGAAAATGGATTTGTGGGGCTGGAGAGAAGGCTAAGTGGTTAAGAGCACTGACTACTTTTCCAAAGGACATGGGTTAGATTCTCAGGATGCACAATTAGGTCATATCCTTCAATAGCTCCACATACAGAGGATCTGACAGCCTCTTTTGGCTTCTGTGGGTACCAGACACAACAGTGGTACACAGATGCACATGCAGGCAAGACTCATACACATTAAAACAACAACAAATCCCCCCAAAAATAGATTTTTGTGATAAAGTAGGGAAGGACACCTAAATATAATTTTATTCTTGCAAACGGCAATTTGTTTAAGATCTAAATTTAAATGTACACATTTGTATATGAGTGTATATGTATAATAAGACATTAATATGAACAATTAAACAATTTGTAAGGACTGGAAATGTAATGAGAATGAGGAATGAAAAACAAGAAAGCTCTAGGATGGTCCAAATATAGAATACTTATAAATATGAACTATGTTAAGAATATAGATAGGGGCCAATGAGATAATTTAGTAGGTAAAAGATCTAATCTTCAAGCCTGACAACTTGAGTTTGATCTCCAGTACCCACATGGCAAAATGAAAGAGTGGACTTCTGTAAGCTGTTCTCTGACTTCTGCATACATTCTCATGTGTGAGCATTTCTTAACATACATACCAAATAAATGTAATTGTTTTGCAAGCAGGGCTATAAAAAGGGTGACTGTGTCAGCTGGGGGGAATATGTGTTAGTGAAATGTGTTGTGTTTTTCAGCAACATCATTAAGGAAAAGTGCACAATAGGAAGGAGCAGGACACTATTTTTAAATGGACCGGGGAACACCCAGGTACTCCTGTAAATGTGATGATACAAAAATAGACAGGTTCTATATGTTCTGGGGATCATCTGATCATTGTACTTTGGGTACCTAGGTAAGAATGCTGCATCGTTCAAATGACCCTGCGTTTGTATGACTTTACATTTCTGAGATTGAAAACAATAAGGATGAGTCTATGATGTAAAATATTATTTTAACTGTGTAAAGCTTTGTTGCCTCTGTGCTGCATTTGTTTAGTGATGTAAGAATGTGTGTGCAATTATGTAACGATGTGTTGCATCTATTTCACTGTTCCTTCCTAAGGCAACTGATTGGTCTAATAAAAAGCTGAACAGCCACTAGTTAGGTAGAGAGCGGTTGGTGCTGGTGGGCAGAGACAATAAGAAGGAGGATGAATTGAGAAGTGAGAGGAAGAACAAAATGAGAAGAGAATGAAGGAGAAAGAGAGGGACACAACAGAGGCAGGCAGGCAGCTGCCCACAGCCAGCCAGATACAAGGAGCACTGAGTAAGATATACAGAAGGAAAGAAAAATAAAATGCATTGAGGCAAAAGGTAGATAAAGAGAAACATGTTAATTTAAGTTGAAAGACCTAGTCAGAAAAGAGCTAAGCTAAGGCCAAGCATTGAAAATTAGTAATAAATCTCCATGTCATTCGGAAGTTGATTGGTGGCCCAAAAGAAAAATCTGGTACAAGAATATTTAAGTATAATGAGTCTTACCCTGAGCCTTGCATTATTAGGTATTTTCTTATAAATGATTGGAACAAGAAAAAAATAATGGTTTTTAACGGTTGGATAGGTTGATGGGAACTGTTGTGGTTTGAAGGAAAATGGCCCGCAAAGGCAGTGGCACTATCAGGAGATATAGCCTTGTTGGGGGAAGTGCGTCACTGTTTGGAGTGGGCTTTGAGCTTTCTTTGCTCAAGCATCCCTTAGGGTAACTGTCACTTGATTTCCAGTTGCCTAAATGATGTAGCACTTTCAGTTTCAGCACCATGTCATAATGATAATGGACTGAAACTGTAAGTGACCCACCCCAATTAAATATTTGTTTACAAGAGTTGCCATGGTTATGGTGTCTCATCACAGCAATAGAAGAAACCCTAACTAAGACAGGAATTAAGCAGGTGATCTCCAAGCAATTTCTTTTTTTCTGTTGTTGTCTCAACTCAGATTTTCATTCTGTGATTTGGTTAAGGAACTGGAACACGTACTAAAAATCTATATGTGATTCAAAGTTTTGTTTCAAAATAATTTGCCATATAGAAACATCCACACAGAAAATGCTTCTCTGAAATGAAACATTGGAGACCTACATATAATTTCAAAATTGTCAGTCACGTCAACAAGCACTGAATTTCACAGTATTAGTGTAAAGAATATATAAATCAATTCACACAATTCATAATCTTCAGGTAAATTAGAATAACTTATTTTATCACTTTTCAATTTTTTAAATATTTTATATTCTTCAGATACTAACTTTTAAAACATTCTGTATATAGCTTGAACAATAAAGTAAAAATATGTAAGGCATCTAGCATTTTAGGACAAGTTGCAATGAATTCATACAGTCAAGTATACACAAGAACATTCTAAATTCCTTTTGTGACATTGTACAATATAATTTCTGGAACACATCTAGAAATACAGCCATTCAACAGGCTTAGAGGGTATTACTTTAATAGGTTTACTGCAATAATAGAAAATGCATAGATTAATTTAAAAGATTGGTAATTCTGAGTGGTTTCTGTAAAGCAATATTGTCATAAAATAAAACTTAGAAATTAAAAATAATTCTGTAATACATTCAAGAGATTACAAGAAAACAAAAAACAAAATCAAAACAGATGTTATATTTCTTACCTGCCGAATACCCAACCGGTATGCAACAATCCGGTCCACTGCGTCAGGATTCATCTGTGTCCACTGAAGACTATAGGAATACACTCGGTGTCTGTTCTGCCACACAGGGTTGTAGGTGTCATAGTAGAACTCTGGGGCATAAGCCTTTCCTGGAAGCAGAAAGTGACTCAATGTGACTGTGGACACATCAGACCTTCAACAAACTTACTGTGTTCTTGGTCTTATCACTTTATGTTCCAGCTTCCATAAGGACTTCTCCTACTTGAAAGTCAAATCAATTTCCCACTTGATTTTGAGAATATATATATATATATATACAGGAAGAGTTGACTTGACTAGCAGTATGAGACAGGGCGAATCAAGGACAAAGTCAAGGTTTTAGTCTAAGCAGCTCTGACAATGAAATTTCTACTGAAACAGAGGGATATTGGAAGATTGAATTTTTGGAGAGACATTCAGGAAGATACATTTTTAAACAATTTGAGTGATAAATGGGATATATATGAAGTATGTCGTAGGATTTAACCAGTTTGGAATAAGAGAGCAGTATGAATTGGATGTGCGGTCTTGGAGTTAAGGCATACTCACTTAAATTAGAGTGCTGGGAATGAGTGGATTACTGAAGAGATTTTAAACACTGAGAAAAAAGAAGACTGAGTTCTGAAAACTGATACAATCAAAGGCTAAAAGCAATGAGAAGAAAAGAGCCATCAGAGTTAAGAGAGCAAGCATAGAAGAGAAAGAAAATTTAAAAAATGAATTATCCTCGAGGAAGTGTAGTGGGAGATGCTTACCCAACTTCCGGGGGACAGGGGCACTGATTGAAGAACAAAACAAAACAAAATTTGTGTTTGTGTTCCCTGTGGTGTGTCAAAAAGGTAAGATTTTAAGTTTTGAAACTTGGAAGAATCAATGCAGAGAGCACTTTTATCAAGCTCTAGCCCCACAACAAATAAATAAAACTGGAAGCATTGGGCGAAATATGCATTATCTAGAACTTCCTCAGTGCTGACATATGAGAGGAATGCAATGTTCTCCAGTTTGCTAGTAAAATTCGAGAAGGTACATTAAATACCTGAATTATGGTAACAATTATCAAAATCCTAACATCAATATTGTACACAGGATTTTTTTTTTAATGGTCCTGTTAAATCTAGAGTTTTGTCTTAGTGTTGGACTTGGCTTTTGTTTCATAGACACATTTTGGAGATCTGACCCTAGAATTCAATGAGGACTGATTTTATTGTTTTAATCTGCTCAATTTATTACAACTATTATGGTATCAATTAACTGATGTTAGTTTGTAACTAGCTAACTAAAAGTGAAATCATTCTATGACTAAACTGAATTGGTAATAACTTTCCTGGAGCACTATGTAACAACTTTTTTGAGAGTAACTGAAATAGGTCATATGGTAGATGAAGGAATGCTGAGCTAGAACAGACATATCAATGGCATGTGAAAATAATATAGGAAAATAGTCAGACACAGTAATATTTTGATTTTGATTCAAAAGTTAAAAATAAAGTTTGATACTGTTTCACTTTTAATTGAATAATTATACCACCCTACAATTAAAGAAGAGGTAAGATTTACATGGTATGAAATAGCATTTGTTGGTAATAAAAACAGGCATTGTTATAGATATTCTATAATTTTTAAAAACACATGTGAAACATCTTCTCTGATACTCTATATTTATTCTCTCCCATTTATAAAGCACACATAGTCATGACAGGAATACAGTTTTGAGTTCTAACACCCAAACATGACATCTGCTGGTTGAATAGAGAAAGAATTCCCAACATTTCTTTACTGTTTGTAGAGTATTCATTTTCTTCTAGTCTTGTGAAAATGTGAAGGATATTTTCTTACATTTTATGTTCTAGTTTTATTTTTAAACATGTTCCAGTTTGAAATTCTTAGGTTAGCTGACCTAGATCTATATCCACTATTTAAACTTGGAGATCATTTTTAGAAACACTATGCATGTCAATACATAGATCTTAGATTTCAAACCATTCTTAAAATATACAGGTAGAAGTAATTGTAGTACTCAGACATTTTCATAGAATTTATATAACAATATGAACATTACATTTTCAAAAAATCCTTTAAAATGATAACACAGTTTGGAAAATACAATTTCAAGCATAAAGCTACAAGTAAATATGCTTAAATAATCATTTGCATTTAAACTATTAAAATGTCTTAGGTTATATGAGTTGATGAGTTGACTGATAATGCTAACATTGCATATGTATGTAAAAACAAAGGGGAAAGGGAATGATAGTGGTCAAGAGTAAATATATGCTCTCTAAAGTCAATATTTCAGAAAAGGGGCTGTAGGGAGATAAACAAATATATAAATTCATCTTAGCAAAGGAATTTCAGAGTATATTTGAAGATATATAAGGGTGCTATTTTAATTTCATTTATTGAGGAATCATTAAGTAACTTATTATAGGTCCATTTCAATTCATGTTCTGAAATATTGAAAACAGAAATGTCCCACCAGGATAAACCATGATTAATTGTTGACATGACATAGCTAGCTAAACACCTACTACTCTCACATTTGTGCCCAAGAATGTTGGGTTTATTATAACAAATATCTTTGCCGAAGTATGCATAAGCTTGCAAACAAACAAAAATTCTTCACATGTCAAAGAATAGAGATGACAAAAATGAAAAGAAAGACAATGAATAACAGACTGTGAGACGAGGAAGTGTTGGCTTTTATGCTGTTTTGAGTTACATATTTAGGCCCAGGGAGATGACTCTACTGTATGAGTGAAATCACCACATGTGAGAAGGTCATCAAAAGCTAGAACCTCAGCCATATTGGGTTCGCAAGCAAGGTTTTATTCACCCTATTCCAATGACTGTAACTTCAAAATCCAACAAAACAATGCACAAAAAGTATACCAATGTGTGTGGTCAGGAAGACCAATGTGGCTAATACTGCAACAATATTTGTCAGATGATAATAGAACCATGCAATAAAATTATACAAAAATATATTATATTGGTGAAGTTGTAAAATAGAGAAATGAAAGATAGGCACTTTTGACCAACTGTTAAGTAGTAATTACAGTTCTATTGGTGCCAATGTCATTCTTTATGCTGAGTGATCAAGAGGAGGAAAACATTTCTAAAATGACTACAGAGCCTTCTATGGATGTAAGATGTGGTTTTCCTTGTCTTTACCAAACTATACACTTCTAAGGACACTCTCTTATCAGCACCCACTTTGGTGGATGAAACAATGCCTACACTTGAAGAGGACATAATAATAGCTCAGGGCTGAACCATGAAGAACCATGTTTTATAAAATTAGGTGCTGACTATTTACCTTATATTTCAGCTTTTCTCAAGTTATCCACACATTTTCCACATGAGCAAGGTTGAAACGTTAGTGTATACCTCTATTTTTATTACCTAGCTTGAGAAGTACCCAATTATAACAATTAACTCAATGAGAATTAAGATAATTATCAAAATGATAGCAATGAGACCATTTAAAATGCAAACCCAAAACCCAAAACTTCTCAAGTATGCATTTATTTATATAATAAGATGTTATTAAAATCCAAGGCAAACTTAGCACTAACACTGATAATACACTGATCAAGAATAAACTTTAAAATAATAGGAGCTATTGGTTTCTGATTGTGGTATTTACAGTATAACCTAAGGCTATTCTTAAAGTGATTGTGAATCAGAGTAGTCATATATTTATATGAGGAAAGAAGTGACAGGTCCATCATAAAATATCGAGAGCACATACAATAAAACACATGCACCAGGTAGTGGTAGTGTACACCTTTAATTTCAGGACTGAGAAGACAGAAGCAAGTGGATCTCTAAGTTTAGACCAGCCTGATCTACAGAGTAAATTATAGGACTCCAGGGCTATGAAAAGGAGATTTATCTCACAAAACAAACCAATTAACCATCTAACCAACCAACCAACCAAACAATCAGTCATCCAAGCAACCAACAATCCTACCAACCAACCAACCAATCAACCAACCAAATAAACAAACAAAAACCAAAACAACAAAAAACAAAACAGAACAAAATCACTCAAGCAATTCTCAGTTCTCTAACATAGAGAAGAAAGAAAGCAAACCTGTTGAAGTTAGAATTGTATTATCTTAAATTTAGAGTCCCAATTTATATTAAACAAAAGAAAGAGCTATCTTACGCAGCAGGGAATGTAGAGACAGCTATCACATCAAAAACATTTGTTCTGTATTGTTGTCCAACTGCTTTCTACTCCTGTCTAGCCTCTGGGTATGGTTGCTCACATTGATTGATAGCCTGGACCTGGGGGATAAAATCCAGACTCTGTCACTATTGTCACCAAATATAGTGGATGCATCTATACAGAGATGGTATACCCCTCCACCATGTCCCAAATTTACATATAGAAACTACTGAATAACCTGTAATAATGTTATAATCACCAATAAAAAAGGCCCTCTGCCCATTTTCTGAGGTCTGTAAGTAAGAAACTCAAATTACTATTGTGTCCCTGGGACTCCTTGTTCTGCTATTTTGTATCTTTATCTGAAAACATTGTCAATTCAGGAAATTTTAAAGAGTTGGAATGACTGAATACATTTCTCATGAGCACTATTGATATTCTATTAAACATTTAATTCAGAAACAACAAATATATAATAAGCAGCCAATAAATGAATTCATTCTTTCCCAAAGCTATTTACTTTCTTAAAATTGACTATCAAAATACCTAAAAGATCCCATTGCTTGGGGAGTGTGCACATAAAGTAGTGGATGCACTGGCCTAGACAGTCTCAGACTGAGAGATCTGAATGTTCATGGTGTAATCATTAACTTCTTGGCTAGGGCTGCTGCTTCACACATGGTTGTTCCATTCCTGAATATGTATGCAACAAGACCAAGCAGACATGAGAAGTGCTCTTGAATTAGAGAGAAGTCCTGAAGCCATGCTGTTCATCTTCTAGGAACATTTGTTTTCTCCAAAACACATAACTTCAATTGATAGAGTCAATTTCACTACAACTCCCAAGAATAATTACAACATCTGTGAACATGACTCCCATAACAGGGTAAAGAAAGGGCTTCAAATTAAGAGTTCTTTTAATTTTGCTAAGGAGCT